AAAAAAAACGGGATAAAACGGCTAGTTTTTTGAAATTCGGGTTCGGGCAGTCGGGCAAACTCGGGCAGCTCGGGCTTTCGGGCAAAATTAAAAAAAACTAGCCGTTTTCGGGCAAATCGGGCAAATCGGACAATTCGGGCAGTTCGGGCAACTCGGGTTTTCGGGCCGAATTCGGGTAAAAATTCAAAAAACTAGCCGTATTCGGGTAATTCGGGCACCTCAGGCGGGTCGGGCAAGTCGGGCAGGCGGGAAAAATTCGGGCAAAATTCAAAAATTCGGGCTTCGGGTCGGGCAATTCGGGCACACCCAATTTTCGAGCAATTTTCGGGTCGGGCAATTCGGGCTTGGTCGGAAAAATGCAAAAAAATCCCGGCGGACGGCGGTATACGGTGGTTAGACGGCGGCGGGCAAGGGTGGACATGTCAAATCCGGGCTGCCCGAGCCCGAATTTTTTGCTTGGACGGGCGGGAATTGGGGACGGGCGGGAATTGGGCCGGCCCGCCCGAGCCCGAAAAAATTCGGGCTTCGGGCGGCCCGCCGACCCGAAGTTCCAGCACTACATCCAATAGTAAAAATGTGCTAAAACTTAGAGTGCGTTCAATTACAGTAAAATAATAATAATAATATGAAGGAGAATGGTAATAAAATAAAATAAAAAATAATTTATTTATTTAATTATAATTTTAAGAATATTATGAAACGGAATATGAATAATTTTATATTAATAAAATTACTCTTATATTATATATAACATTAAAATTTTATATATCAATATCAATATTATAATATATAAAATGTAATATAATATAATAAAATTAAAATTATATAATATATTATATAATTATGATAAATAATATAATAATATTATTAAAATTGTTAATATAATTATAGGAAATGTCTTTAGTCCGGTAAGTATAAAAATGACTGACTGATCCGCTCAAGTTATCGTGGCCGTTGGATTGAATTTTAATGGTGTAGATGAAAGTTTGTTTCTCAAAAACCTCTCCTTTTCTCAAACCCACGACCGAGCACTCCCAAACCGTGGATTTTCTCTCGACCTCCCTCGACTTTCCTCGAGCTCTGTTGACCTCCTCCGCAGCCACATCGACGCTGACGAGTTCCGACAAGCATACGAGGCCGCGTCCCGACAACTCCCACAAGCAAACCCACTTCTATCTCCTCCTCCACCCTGACATTTTCTCTCTCCTCAAACACCACCACTTCCTCCTCTTTCTCCGCCGCCGCTTCCTCGACCGCCTCCACAGGTAGGGATCTTGTTGTAATTTATAATAATAATTCTTATTCTTATTGTTGAGAAAGAAGTAAGATTCTTTTTACACGGATTTTTTTTTTTTGGATTTTGATTTGATTTTTATGGGGCTAAGGTTTGCTTATTTTTCTTGATTTCCTCATCTGTGGCTCGTGATTTTGAGGGCATTTGTGCAAAAGATTTATGGGTTCTGTCTTGTGAAGTCGTTGCAAGCACTGTTTTAATCTGATTTCTTCTTCTGGGTAGTGAAAATTTGTGATTTTACAAATTTTTGATAGGGAGGGATACGACATCTCAACGGATCTACGGCTTAAGGACTGCAAAGGAGGAGACTCCTCTGATTCGTGTTTGATTGAGATTGATGAAGACGATGGCCGCGAAATCGTTTTGCCCGGTGGAATTACAATCTCGAATGTTTCTAAATCCATCAAATGCAATAAAGGCGAGCGAACGCGGTTTAGGTCCGATGTTCTCTCTTTCCAACAGGTATTTCTTCTTCAAGTTTTGTTGTCGTTTATTCTTAATGATGATTTCTTAATCTCTCACCATAACTCATAAGAGATCACTTTCTCATGCAAATTGGCATGCTTTCTCATGCATATGAACTATGAAGTTGGGAATATGTTACTTGTCGTTTTATTTTCTCCTTTGCCACTCGTATGCATTCTTATGCATGAGAAGTCTTGGCAAAAGTAATATTTGCCCACTAATCTATGTTTGACACTATTTAACAGCGTACCAAAAAGAGGAAAAATCATTAAGAGATGAAGGAATACATGCCAATTGTAGTAAACTTGGATCGGTGAGATCCACCTGTCATTCAATATTTACCTGCCATGTTCACGTATAATTGTGATCAAATGGAGATGGATGTTTCTTTCTGGGCACTTTAATAACCATTGGTATCAAGAGATTTCATCGAATGTATTGTAGCTTTCTCTATTTCAGTAACTAACAGCATTCTCTCTCACTCCCAGATGTCAGAGCAGTTCAACCGGGAAATTTCTTTGACTAGAAAAATTCCTTCGGGCCTCTTCAATGCAATGTTTGATTTCTCAGGTTGTTGGCAAAAAGATGCAGCCAACAATAAGACCCTTGCTTTTGATGGGGTGTTCATCACGCTATACATTGTTGCATTGGAAAAGTCTCAGATGGTTCTACGTGAGGAAAAGACAGAGAAAGGAGGACAGTTACTTCCAAACAAACAATTGCAGAAACCAGACTTTCATTGATGATTTCCAACTGAAAAGAAACATGGGCAAGTTTTATGGTCCTGAGATATAGGAGCATCCACGATTCTCTGGGTTATCTGCCAAGGAAAAACAAGACACCCACGATTCTCAATGCATTATTTAAAGAATGTAGCCTCTACCCAGTTAGCATTATACCCCAATAGAAAATGTAAAGACAAAGTTATATAATAAATCTCATTGGTACAGTATTCCTTTTATGTGTGTGTGTGTTTTTTTTTAATGTGTTCATGATCCGTGATGCCTAACTCAATTGATACTATACCTTGTCTGAAGAAGCACAGTTAAAGAAGTCAAAAAGAGTGGGTGTGTGTGTGGAAGTGATTAATTAGAAGAAACAAATCAACAACATGAAATATAACAAATCAGCCAATATACAAATGAGTCTTTAATCTAGCACATTAATTTTATATGATTGATCCACTCAAAAATTGTGGCCATCAGATTAAAAAATAGACGATGTAGATGAAAGTTTATTTTTATGCGTCTCTCAAGCGCACTCCCACTCCCACAATCAAACCCATTTCTCTCTCGACCTTCATCGACCACCTCCGCAGCCATCTCGCTGCCAGTGGCTTCCGACAGACGGACGAGGAGACCCACTGCCTCACGACAACACTCGCAACTAAACTTTTTTTGGTTGATTGTGTAACGACCTTGCTGAGTTGACCGTTACTGAAACTAATTTTAACATATACTTTCTGAAACTCTCAAAATTTGAGACTTTTTAAAAAAAAATGCTATAGATTAATCCCTGAACTTTGCGTTTTTCTTGAGCAAAACTTTGGATACTAATAATAAAAGGAACGGCGATTTTAAAAATTTAATGGTAATTACATATGCTCATCGCGTGATAACTTCAAATTTTACAGAAAAATCATATAAGGAACACAATATTACCTTCAATGCTAGTTAAAACGTTTGAAAACCACAACATTATACTTCTGTAAATAAACAAGACTTATGCTGAATTGTACAACTTCCGTATGTAAATATACAAGACATATGATGAATT